CAAATAGACTTTTCTTTGCATAGTGGCAAACTCAATCATAAGACCTTCCAGCACCCTAATTGATCCAAGGTGACGATAGTGCTTACAACGTTACAGCGTTTAAAACATTTCGAAATTTCCTTAATTCAGTCAAGACCGGACAAAGAGCATAAATTTAGGCATCTAGCATGGGACATAATTATTGAAAACGTATAGCAAAACATGGAGAGATGGAAGTACTGATTCAATTACCGTCTTTATGAGACATAGAATTGAAGGCCAAAGTCGATTCTGAGCCCCAGAGGGACATATCTTAAGACCTAATCAAAATAAGGTTTGATTTCAGACAATTTAAGCAAACTTAGATTAAATATAAAAAGATGTCGGGTTTCGAAAAATCTCTTATTAGAGTCAGTTCTCTTAAAGGGGCTAGAGGAAGGGATTCGTTAATTGGCTTTACCGAAAACTGAAGGAGGATTGCCCTGTAGTTACAACTCAGTTCTTGCAAATAAGTCCTCGACGCACCATCAAGAGAAAAAAAAGAATCGGTACTGAGCTCTCGTCTGCCATGTGAGAGACAGCGTCCTAGTTCTTAGTGAATTTCCGTGAGGCATGTTTTCCCACTCTGAAAAACACAACGTTGCGCCGAGGACTTATTCGCAGAAATCTACAATCTTTACCCCAACGCAATCCATTTTGGGCTTCTTATGATACCAATTAACGAATCCTTTCCTGTCACCTGCGCTTAGATTAAGATCTAAGGTTAGTTAAGGATGTCATAGCTAAAAAAATAAAATGAAATAAGAAAAAAAATACTGCATACAAAATAATAATACTAAGTAAAAACAAATCATATCTGAAAAAATAAAATGAATGTTTGGTAAAAGCAGATAAGATCACCTTCGACCTAGTCGGACGACCGACGGGCCGTTTGGAAGTCACTACAGACACATTTGTCTGCCGGCATCTGGTCGGTCCAGGCTGTGATAGAAGCGATATACCATTGGTGCTTTGATTAGTCGAAAGGGGCAGAATTCTAGTACGTCCTTTGGCAGCAGCTTGAGTAAATGCAAGCCTTGAGGAGTCTGAAGACAAAGAAAGGTTTGTAGGAGGCAGCAGATTGGAGTCATTGCAACGAAAGGCAGTCTGATTGGGGGCAAGCAAGAGATGTGCCGACGGGGCAACAGAACTTGTGTAGTCAACACTGTTTTTAAAGGTGGTAGCAGCAATTGCTGCAAAGGCGGTGGTAGTAGCGATGTGCAGACTTCCAGATTGGCTGCTGCTGATACCGCATTTTCCGGCGTCAGGAGCGATTTGGGCCAATTCACAGAGGTTCGAGAAGTGATCGGGCAGGCGACGGACTCGAGAAATTGGTACCTGGCGATGATCACCATCATCAAAGTCAATGGGTACACAGCCAGACTCCAAACGATCCTCTGGATCAGCTAGGATGACAACAAAAGGCAACCAAGAAAGTAGATGACAGAAAATAAGCTGAATCAACAAGGTAAAAATGCTGAATCTAGGAATAAAAATACATGACAAAAGAGAGGAAATAACTTATTGAGTTTAAAACTTTTAAGTCTTGTGTAATGACAATATTTGTTGCATGAAAAATTAAAAAAAAGAAATTCATTAATAATATTCCATTTACATTTTGAATGGATGAGGAAAAGAAAGGAAACTACGGTTAAAAGATGGTTCAAACATTTGCAGCCGAATAATACTATGGGAATAACGCCAAGACCTTAAAATACGAGACCCAGAGTTCTAGAGAGGAGCATTGAAAGCTATGAATTAATCGAAGGCATACCGATAAGCTACAGAGCTGTCAACCGTAATTTTAATCTGTAATCGGCCAAATTATGATTATTTTGAAGCTTCTACATCCATAAACCCGCCATTCAGAGGATAAACTAAAAACCCAGCTCCGTTTAATTGCCTTCAGAAAGACATCCCTTTATAAAATGGTAGATGCAGATAACGAATTAATAGGAGGGGTACACTGGAATAAATGGCCTAACCTGTGGCCACATTAGGATTTAGTCGACTCTGTGAAACGATTTAGGTACCCTGCATCAGGAAAATTGTTAAAAAGCAAGATTGTTGGCTCAGAAATGAGGAGAGCCCGGATACAAAGTTACCGCCGGAACATAAAGCACAGGTCAGCCTAAGGAGCGTTATCCGGTGGTTGCGAAGACGTCTCCTCAACAATGGCTGCCAGAACTTATTCATTGGTTGAAATTATGACATGGCGAACCCCTACTTTTGAGGCAACTGATAAATCGCCTTAAAAAACGACGCAAATTATTAAATTACTGATAATTAGCTTTCATGGTCAGAAAATCACTCGGAAGGCAGCTTTATAAGCTTGTTATCACCAGGCTTTATTCGCATCAGAAAGTGATGAATTTCGGCTAAAGGGTACTGAGTAAGCATTGTCAAGATGTTCCTTTTATCTTTCGAATTAAATAAATCGGAGCACCGCTGCAACAGCGTCTGGGATGCGAAAGTGGTAGGAATATGAGTGTTGGAGTAACCAGGCTGGATCGGCGTTTTGGCCAGCTAGGCGAAAGCCCTAATTTTAATTTGGATACTCCGAAAACCATACATACGGCAATTATTCGTCTATGGGCAGTGAAAAAAGAACAGGTTAAGATAGGGAGGGGTAAAGTTGTACAGGCTAACGAGGTTAAAACAACCAGATGAAAGCAAGTGAAATAGTGCATGGTATGGAATTTGCTTTTGTGATTTATTTACTTATTTACACGTTTGTATCCGATTGTTCCACCAAACATTTTCGCGCTTCCACTTGTTCCGAAATAATTGTGTCTTTATAGGTTTTAGTTAAAGAATTGTCTTACACAAGTTATGGGCTAGGAAGAATTATTATCACTAGTTATTATAATGTAAAACTAAGCCTTACCAGCATTTCATCGTAGGTAAAATCACTATCGGTTCTTGCAACATAAAATGAAAATGTTGCATAATAAAAGGCATCAGACAGAAAGAATTTAATAATAACGCACCGGTACCCCCTTGGCTTTTCTTCGCAAGGTTGACCACGAAAAATATGCTGAGGTACAAAAAATCTTAAGTAGAAGCAAGAAAAAAGGGGGAGTATAGATAAGTCTTGGATCCATCGAGGATGGTTTACAGATCAAAGTAAACCAAAATAGTTGACATTTTATAGTTCTAGGACCCAAAGAGAGATTCAGTAAGAGATAAGGCGATGCCAATCCATGCGATTCATTTCACAACTAGGAATGTGAATATTAGGTGGATAGGATTAACTTGAAATACAGTATTCAAGTTGATTCGAGTTTCATTTATAAAAAAAATCTGGTTGGAAGAGACTGCAGGAAACTGGAAGAAGATTGCTTTGAAATGAAGGCCGTTGAAATGTGGGGAGGAATCCTTGGTTAATCCTCATGCGTTCCTGACTTACCCATGCTGATCTTTCGTATACCATGTCGCAGACATCGTCAGAGCAATAAATCGACGATTAAGAAAAAACGAATAAGATACACTGAGCCAAGAAAAGAGTGATCGGTTGATTCCATACCTACTTCCTATATGTAATTTTTCAATCTTAATGGGTCATCCTGTGAGTTGATTTGTTACTTCGTACTTATCCTACATGCTTTCAGATGAAGAATATTTGAGGCTGTCACACCTTGCCTCACTTCGACACTATAGACACATATTACGCAGCACCGCACACCTAGACGTGTCGAAATTGCAGCATCAGATGCTGGTTTATCTCGACAAAGAAAGAACTGTAACTACATCCACCTCCTTTTTTATGCATTAACTGTATCCATTATAAAGCCTATAGGGTTAGTACTAAGTAGACAACTAAATCATGTGATGCCTCAATAAGATGACAAAATTGGATATAAGAAATGATTATGATTACGGAAGGTCACGTTTTTTTATATCAGTGTATTTGATGCGTACGTAAGTAAAGGATGGTTTCTCGCTCTGAATATGTTTGTCACACGACAAAGAAAAGCTCAGTACGCGTGAGTAAGGGTCGTAGGACGATGAGCTGAGGATTTCTCCACATAATTCTATAACATCGAATACGGCTAATTCACAGATCCCTTTAAAATAATTGAGTAGCATTGAGTTAATAAAAGATCGTTCTAAAAGTAAATTGTATCCAAGCATAATGTTCAGTCAGGAAAAAGCTTGCATAATAGAGAAGATGAAAAATAGCAATAGGAAGGATTTACAACTCGGGTGTAGTATGAACAGAAAATCCTAGGCCGGCTAGGCAAAGTTAGTGTCACAGACACAAGGTTTATATAATGATCTTCAGTGAAAGTGAAGCTATATAATCAATGCAGAGACGAGTAGGAAATCTGTTAATAAGTGCTAATGAGGAAGTTGAAATAACACCCAATGAAAATTTAGGCTTTGTATATGCACTCCATTGAAGGCTAGTTAACCACAGTTCAAGATGCCAAAAACCCCTGAAACGACCCTTCGACGAAGCTTAATATTAAGCGATCGAGCCAAAGATCTTCAAA